GGCATGCTTCCCGGGTGAAAAGATGGCTCTTCCTGGAGGTGGCGTCCCAGCTCCCTTCTGCCCCACCCGGAGAGAGGGCTCCTGCCTTCAAATGCGGCCGCCATTTTGCAAACATGACAGGCAACGAGGCGAAGCCCTAGGCCACAGGGACGGCCCGCGGAAGGGTGGGGAGCCGCGGGGCCTGGACCGCTGGCTTCTCACCGAGTGAGAAAAGCAGGCCCTTTCCCTCCAGGCCACTGTACATTTAGGCTACTCAACAGCCAAGGCCACTCCCACCTGAATGTGAGTCCATGGATTTTCGGGGCAATTCCTCAGGAGGACTTCAGAGCAGGCCGCACGGGTCACGCCTTGGCTTTGCTGTTTGCCAACTGTGTGTCTCTAGACAGTCTTTTTAGTGTATCTGTGCCTCAGTGTTCTCTCTGCACGACGGGGGGTGGTCGGGAGAGTCCCTACCTGACGGTGGGGGGGCAGGTAATGCGCAGACACAGAATGCGTCAGCCGACGTGCGTATTTCCCTTTGTAGTACAGATAGGCAACTGCCACCATTTATCTGTGTCCCTGCAGGTGCCCTGGCTTCTCCAGCAGGAGGCATACTCCAGGAAGCCAGGAAGTGGGTGTGTCTTCACTGTCCCCACAGTGAGGGTGAGCTCGGCGCACCCACAAGTCCCCGTGAGTGAGCAGGAGCCTCTGATCCTACAAGCCAAGTGCGCTGCCCCCTGTTCACGAGGTCTGAAGTCACCAGACAGAAATAATAACTTGAAGGACTTCAGGGATTGAAGGAATGTTAAATGTCCAAGGAAAAACATTTTTTAAGATTTTGCTTAGTAGGTATGTGGTATTAATAACTGTCCCTTAAGCAAAGTAAACAGTTGTAGCTTTTCCTCATGATGAGAGCAGACATCGCGGACTCACTGGGCCTCTGAGCTCAGAGCCTCCCCCCAACTCGAGGCCGTGGTGCACAGGGGTCCCCCAGGGTCCCTCCCCGGAGGCCTGGGAGGGGCTGCTATGTGAGAATCACAACCCGCCAGCACCCGAAGTGTGTGGGCAGAGCCTCTGAGTGCATCCTGTGTGCCGAGCCCCAGACGGACTTCACGTGCTTACAGGAGGTAGGAAAGGTCTTCCTGAAGAATCGAAGGAGCCAGAGGTAACCTTGTCCCTGGACCTCCCTCTGCGCCCCTGGGCTTCCCTCTGTGCCCCTGGACCCACTCAGACCCCTCCTTCCACACCCCAGGTGCTCAGGCAGCCACTCTTCCCCGTGGACATTAAGTTCTTAGGAAATCACCCTAATTCTAATGCTTCTTTTGTTCTAATTCCCCGACCTGGAGTCCCCCTGAGAGCCTCACACAGGGAACCACGCACCCGTAAACATGCACCTGCCACGGGGCGTGGACCCCCACCCCCACCCTCATTTCCAGCATCCACTGGTGCCCAGTGTCCACTGTCATGTTACCAAATGCCACCGGATGCAGCTGAAGTTAAAGATACAGGGACTCCAGCAAGGGTCCCTGCAAAGCCACACCTGGGCTCCCCTTCAAAGCACCTGAGGGGCTGGCGGCTTGCCTCCACCTTCACCAACACGGCCGGGGGCACGGGCCCTCCTCCGCCCGCTTCCTGCAGCTGCCCTGCGATTGCCCTTTAACGTAAAACAGATCTCTTGACCCCCTGTCTGGGAAGTCCTCACACCACCCTCTCGCTCTATATGCAACCCGAGCTCCTTCCACGGACTTCAGACCCTGAGTGCCCGCCACCTGCCCCTTCCTGCAGAACCCCCCTTCCCCCACACCCCCGTGGAGGCCGCCTGGGCTGCCCCTCCTCCACTTCCTGCAAATCCCTGCATTCCTGACATCCCATCCATCACATGGCTTCACTTCCTACACGGCACAAACTATGGTTGCCGCCTGAACGTATGTTCCTCGTCTCCTTGTTGCCTGCTCGCCCCGATTTCACCGTGACGGCAGGCTCACCGCTGAATGCCCAGAACATCGACTCTTCCAAAGATGTGAATTGTCGAATGCGGCTGCACAAATCCGATGACGGATACCAGATCTGACCTTCCCCTCTGACCTCAAATTTACACAAAGCCAGGTGCACGTCAGGTTCCCAGTGAGACTGGAACTGCAGACAATCCCTCAACCTCTAGGCCTTGCTTCTGGGGACGGGGACACCTGCCACATCAGGGAGGGTACCCCGGCCACAGGGGTGAGGCCGTCTCCCCAGGACCAGTCAGTCCCCACCTCCCCCCATCCACCTCCAGTCTCCACAAGCGAATCCTGAACACGTCCAGTTGCTGGGCTGGGAACTAGCTCCCAAGGGCATGAGCTGCCGCCATGCACGTCTCCAGCGCGCCTGGCTCCAGGGCCCCAGCACACGGGTCCCACACTCTTCGCGCGACACCAGAGGCCCATGGCAGCTGATGAGACGTTCCCAGCAGCCACGGGTGTCCCTGCCCATGAAACACTCATCCCAAGCAGTACTCTGGAGACGCAAACGACGTTACGCTGAGCCCTCGCTCTCTGCAAGCTCATGGTGCACTGGGCATTTACGCACTTTCCAAAGAGCTCAGGGTGTGGGGTACACACTGGGTGAGAAAGGAGGCGACGGGTCTGGAACGCAGGCAGACGTCTGCAGCGGGGTGGGAGGCCGCAGGCATCATGTCCGAGAGGAGGCCCGAGCTAGCGGGCCGACCGAGGCAGGACAGCGGGGACAGAGCACAGGGACAGGGGACCCACTGGATGGGGACAGGGCCCTGGCTCTCAGCTCACAGGCGTCATCACCGGGAGGGAAGCAGCCTGAGAAGACAGGGAGCTTCGTCCGACACCTGCGGGGTCTCTGCTCAGGAGGCCTCCGCACGTTCTGGCTGCAGGAGGGGTAGGAAGTGCAGGAACCACCGGCCAGCCACCTCCACACAGCACCCCCCCGTACCCCCCGCACCCCCCGCACCCCCGCCTGCAGCTGATGAGGTGGTTCCGGCGGCCCGGTGTCTTTCTCAATTGTAGCCTGGTTTCACAGCTGCACTCTCTGCACCTTGACCTGTTCATCCTTCCATAGAGAATGAGGTTTTCTCTCTAATTTAAGCATAAAATCCTTTTCATTAAAAAAAAAATGCGTATTTATTTTTGAGAGAGACACAGAGCATGAGCGGGATAAGGGCAGAGAGGGAGACGGAATCCGAAGCAGCTCCAGGCCCTGAGCTGTCAGCACAGAGCCCGACGCGGGGCTTGAACCCACGAACCGTGAGATCATGACCTGAGCTGAAGTCAGACACCGAACCGACTGAGCCACCCAGGCACCCGGCATAAAATGCTTGTCTGATTTTTTATCTGCTGGTCAATCTTACTTCCTCTCCTTCTCTGACCCGTTCACATCCACAAACCAAAACCTATACGAGTGACAAAGACAGGGTGTTCACAAGATCATGAAAACAATGTCCCTGAGCCTTCGCCTTGTTACCAGCCAGCCCACCCCGTGTACCGCCGGCACGGAAGGAGCCGACAGAAGCCAGGCCCAAGAAGGGACTGTCCCCCCTGCAGGCACACTGGGCTCTGGAAGCATCTCGGCACCACGTGTCCATGCAGAATGTACCACAGGAGCACGCCAGTCCGGCTGAACGACGTCAACAAGAGAGACCACGTGGCTTCATCAAAACTGCGTTTCCTACAAACCCAAAACCCTCCTGTGCTAGGACGGCGTGTTCAGGAGAGCCGTGCGCTGGCCGCGACTCACACCCCAGTCTCCCCGGAGGCCCCGAGGCCCGGCCTCGGTCCTGATGAAACACTATCCTGTTTGCAACCCTGCTCAACAAGGGAGAAATGTGCACCGTTGAGCCAGTGCCTCAATGCCCTCTGGGTAAAAATAGTCTTTTCGCAGATGCAAATGTGCGGCTAAAATCTCTCTTTTCTGTATGAATGAGTCGAAGGTGTTGTGGGGAAATTAACATTCCACGTGGACACCGACTCCAGCCGCAGGTCCATGGCCACAGCCCTCACGCATGCACCTGCAGAGCACGTGGTGGTGGGGTCCCACGCCCGGGCCGCCTCTCCCCAAATCACTTGGCTGCCACGTGCTGTGACGTGGGGCACGGGCCGCGGTCGGGTGAGATGGGTCAGGGGACGGAGGAGAAGCAGGAGCTTATTCTCCGCCCTTCACGTTCCGCTGTTCAAGAGCCCAGTCGGAGGTGGGTGACACACCCCTGCTCCCGCGTGCAGGCACCAGAGGCAGCCCCTTCCCCCACAGGGGTCGCCTGCCTTCTCCCCCCTCCTCCACCAGGCAGGACAAAGGGTCCTGGAGCCTCAGGGGAACCGGCCCAGGGCAGCGTAGAGGCGGCCGCACGGAGGGCCTGCAGAGACGCCGGACTGGTCCCTGCCATCTAACAAAGTGGCTGCACTAGAACAATCTCCACCTCCCTGCCCCGGAAGGTGCCGCCGCAAACCCCACGTCTGCTCCGGTTCCTGCTCACGGCGACCTGAGCCAGCGGCAGCTGTGGGGCGAGCATCCCTCCCAAGCCTGACGCCACCCAACCTCTACCCCACGGCCACCCCGACCCCCCCTCCACGGCCATCCCGACCCCCCACGGCCATCCCGACCCCCCCTCCACGGCCATCCCGACCCCCCCACGGCCATCCCGACCCCCCCCATGGCCATCCCGCCCCCCCCTTCACAGCGCCACTCCCGGAGGGCAGAATGCGATTTTCGTCACAGACCTCCATGAGCACCATGACCGCCAGTGCCGGGCCAAGTGTCCTCCACTGTCACACTGCCCCGTGTCACACTGCCCCGTGACCAGGCCGCTGCTGCCCTGATGGTCTCAGGGGAGTCGATATCTCTTAAGGGCTTGCGGCGTCAGAGGACATGAAAAGGCAGAGCCGCCTCGCGGTAGCGAAGGGACAACGACACGAACAAAAGGGCAACTAAACAGCCCAGCAGATTGTCATCGTTTCCAGTGACAGCCGTGTCACCTCACAAGCTGCCGCGGCGTGCAGGGGGCGTCCTGGCCGAGTTACCTGCGTGGCCTCTGAGTATCTTTGATATGACGACGGGGACCCTGTGCTCGGCGCCTCCCTGGAAGACAGGCAGAGAGAGGGCTCGGTCAGGACGGCGCAGACCCGCGCTCGGAAAGGAGTCTCGCGGAGAACGCCTTCCTACCTTTATGCTCAGGCCCAAGCCGCCGGCGGGCTGTCTGCGCAGCGTGACGGTTCTGTGCTTTAAAAAGTTTTAGAAAACAAAGCAGGTTTAGGTTAAAACATATGATCAGAAAATGAGTGCAACATGCGGATATACATTCTTCATTTCAACTGAAGGGACTCTTTCAAGTACACCTGCAGATGGACACGCTTCCACCTCGGGGAGCAGACACCTTGAGTAAAAACAGACACAAGAACCAGGCCCTATTACGGCCGTATTTAAGCCCACGGTGGATTCCTGCAGCTGGCCAGACCTTCTAGTTCTTTCTCAAGGATCCTAGGCCCTGGGAAACGGGCCACACTCTCCCAAACTCAACCCGCCTTCAAACCCGTTCCTTCCCACCTGCCCAGCCTGGCTCCCTCCCCTGCGCCTCCCTGCCCTGCGCCATCGCCTTCAGGCCCTTTCTTAAGTAGCCAGTGCTGCCCCCAAACGACTGCCATCTCCCGTCCCCTGTCCCCTGCCCACGGAAGGCGCCGGGGTGGCAGAGAGCTGGAAGAGCAGCGGAGCCCAGCACCAGCAACGCCTCTGAACCGCCTGCATGTTCGATCCCAGCTCCTATTGCGCTTGGACTAAACTGACCAATGGCTGACCGATGAGCGGCTGAGGCGAGAAACTGGAGCCTGGGGTGGGGGGAGCGTGGAGTCCAGCGTGTCTGTGGTTCAGAAAGATCCCGGGGGAATGACAGCAAGGACCCGCGTTCTCTGCTCTGGAAGCGTAGATGCTGTCCGACCGAGTGGTGCCCCGGAGTTGGACCCATTGCCCATGTGGACATTAACGGCAAACGCTGTGTTCAGAGCATCTGTGGCTGCAGCGTCTTCAGCTGGTGGCTGTTTATACCGTCACAGGCAGAGAGAGGGAGCCACGGCTCGGGGACGCTGGCTTCAGGGCCATGGTTTGCACTGTCTCCGTGTCCCGTGCTGCCCGCGATGGGGTGATGGTGAAGAGCAGGCCCAGTGACACACACATGGGACGTAAATCCCACGGCAGGAGAAACAGACGTCCTGGCATGGGGGCCGGGGGGCTTCCCTCCACACAGTCCAGGGTCAGCCAGCAACTTGGGGAGAAAGGCCGAGGAGACAGTTAGTTACCCGCTGCCTCACATTCAGCCTGAGTCTCTGCCATGTCTGTAGCAACAGCCCAACGTGCCTCCACGGGAAGTACTCTGAGCAACGGAGGCCCAGAATTGGGTCACTGATTTCACAGTAGCCAGAGGCCTCTACTGCGCGGAATCTTTCAAACTTTCAATCGCGTTTTCCAACTTTCACCATTAAGTACCAAGTGTCTTTCTGTTTTGACAGACTTTGCCAAATGCCACTTTAAAATAGTCATTTTATTCACATATCGATCTCAGGAGGATAATCCGAATAAAACATCAGAAAACGATCACCTGAGTGATGCACACCAAAAATCAGGACTAACAGCCCCAACAGGTAAAAGAAAAAAAATATGTCATGAGCCTCGTTACCGTTTGTTCAGGACTTGAAGGGACTGTTACCTGTTACTAAGCCAGAACATTATCTATTCACATATTTGCTCTCTGCAATCTGCTAAATTTCCCTTTCGGAGCACATGAGCCCTGGTCACTTAAACCTCTGTGACACTGAGTTTCTGTGTCTGGAAAGTGAGGATGATACCATGTGTCCTACACAGGAAGTGCTGTGGACTAAACTGTTCCCCCCGGGTCCCTGTGTGCAAGTCCCATCCCCGTGTGACTACATTTGGGGGTAAAGTGAGGTTGGAGGGATCACGGGGTGGGCCCTGGACCATAGTACTGCTGTCCTGTGGGAGCGGGGACCGGAGGGGAGGCAGAGCCCTCTCTGCATGCGCTCAGAGAAGACGGCACCTGACCATCTATGGGGTTCTGCATGGGGAGCCTGGGTCCGCCAAGACAGAGCCAGCCGAGAGAATTACGGGAAACCAGCAAGCTTCACAGAAGTATCAGGATGTCCAGTCTCATCATCAAAAGCTCTGCCTTCTGCTCTTCTGAACCCCCTCGTTGGAGCTTAGAGGAATCTCGTGTGTCAAAGTCGGGAGAAGGTCCGGCCAATCTGTGTTCTCACAACTGAAGATTACATAACTACCTGGGTTCTCATGTGATTGTAGCACTGTCGTATTTAAGAATTTAATTTTTCAAAACAAGATTTGTAAAAGTTATTGAGTGGCTAAAATGAATAGGAAACACAATTTGTACAGCTTTCCGCTGGAAACGTCCTCGCAGCAGCCCAGCTGAGGCCCCTCCTGTGCCCTGAGGCCTCAGGACCCCACAGCCAGGTGAGAGGCACAAGTTTCCAAAGTCGTTCTCTCAGCAGATGTGCAGATGGAAACCAATGCTATCAACAGACACTGTCTAATTCAACCAATTCCTTCTCTGACGAGCTCGCTCAGTCCTCCATGGGGACACATTTTCCCGATAACCATGCTTCGCTCCCAGTGGGCGTTGGGGGGAAGTGCGCTCACTTCCCAGAGCGATGAACTATGAATTAATTCATTCAGATGTGAAAAGAGACTTTGGGAGGATGAAGTTTGGAATCGAAGGTAACTCTTCAATAAACTCTTTTCCAACAGAAGCCAGCTGCACTTTTCACAGACATGAGAGATGAGGTCCTTGAGAAAATATTCCACTTTATCATTAATTCCAAAACTATGCTTTGACTAATGGGGATTTATGGACCCAGAGAACTGGAAGCAAAAGGGAGCCACAGAAAGGATATAAACTTAGGTGAATAAAAGCAGTAATAATGCATTTATTTCTCACAAACAGGTGATGATAGGATTGTGGGCACTGAGTACAGAATTTATCAGACATGGCCAGGACTTCATGATAACAAATTCATCCATCTTGGGGAGTTTAATACAAGTTTAATTCTTTATTCCAAACTAAAATATCAGTTTGTTGATATTCTTCACAGTACTTGTTATGTGAAAAATAAACTTAGTTTTTCAAAATGACTTTAACAAGTTCAGTCGCTGTGGGAAACTGCAGACAATCTGTAAAGGCCTGGAAGGAAGGGCCGTGCGACCCGCAATCACCGAATTACTATTTACAGGTTCCTTATCCCCTTTTTAAAAGACAATTTTAAACTTTAGAAAAGCTTTAAACCTTGTTTTCAGCAGTAAGGGAGGGAGCTGACAATTTGGGGGGCATTGTGAGCTAAACTGGCCATCTGTGCAGCTCCGTGGGTCCCTCACAGGGCTTCACAGATCTGTTTCTAGGGAAGGGGCTGGTGCCCAGATCTGTGCCTTGCCCTTTCTACCAAGATAGGTAACACCTAGGACCAGGGAATAAATGTCCCAAAACCCATCTACCTGTAACTGTAAAGATTCCTGCAGGAATGTGGCAGCACGTGTGGCCTGGGGCGTGAAGGCACCTACGGTCTACACAGCAGCAAAGCCAACACCCAAGTATCTGACCCATTGACGCATGAGCCATGACCTTACATATTTACAGGGGAGGGGAGAGCTCCAGCTCTCTGCAGGGGGAGGCTGGGGCCAGCTCTGCAGGGGGAGACTGAGTTCTTATCTCTAGGACAACTGCCTTCATCGACGGTGTGACACCAGCCATCCGCATGCTGCTGCGGGGTCTCCACTCCGCCTGGCACCCAGCACACCTGCCCCCAGGCCTCCACCCACTGCCCCTGGGCCTCCTATGCACTCTTGCGTCCCCACTACCCGTTCTTGCGTTCCCACTGTGCGCTCTTGCATTCCCACTATGCGCTCTCATGTCCCCACTATGTGCTTTGGCATCCCCACTACACACTCTCCAATCCCCACTGTCTGTTCTCGCTTCCCCACTATCCACTCTTGTGCCCTCACTGTGTGCGCTCTCGTCCCAACTATGCATGCTCACGTCCCCACTATGTGCTCTCGTATCCCCACTATCAGCTCTCATCTCCCCACTATGTACTCTCAAGTCCCCACTACATGTTCTCTCATCCCCACTGTCTCCTCTCGTTTCCCCACTATCCACTCTCGTGTCCCCACTTTGCGCTCATCCCCACTATGTGCACCCACGTTCCCACTATGCACTCTCACGTCCTCACTATGCGTGCTCGCATCCCCACTATGTGTTCTCTCATCCCCACTATGTGCTCTCGCGTCCCCACTATGCGCTCTCGTCCCCACTATGTGCTCTCACGTCCCCACTATGCACTCTCTCATAGCCACCACGTGCTCCCGCGTCCCCACTATGTGCTCTTGAGTCCCCAGCTCCCAACTCCTGTGATGTCCTCCGGTCTGTCTCACAGCCTGCGATTTCATGTCTGGTACGGTGCTGGCTGGGGGACGGTGATTCCGAGCCGGGTGTGTTTGCACCTTGATTTCAAAGCAGGCCTGCTGCACGCCTGTTCTCAGGTCAGCTGGCTCACTTTCTGCGTCTGGTCTTTGTCCCACTTCCATGACCTCTCGTGCCTGGAGGCGTGCTGCAGATCTGGTCTTTGTAGAGCCTTAAGTCCCCAAGGGTCAAGTTTGTTTTACTTCCACCGTCTGTCGCTTATGGTGGTTTCAAGTTCACTCATGAAGGCCAAGACTTTCTGGCCCTCGTGCTCCACGCAGGGGAGAAGGTCAGTCCATCCTTCAGCCTCTCAGCCCCTGGACTGCTTCCTGAGGGCTCATGCAGATGCCTAACCAGGTCAGGCCGGCGGGCGACGCCAGCCCCAGGGGCCAGGAGCCTCCTCCGCTCATGCCAGTTGGCACCCCCGAGCCGGGCTCCGTCTATCCGAGAGCATCCTGGGTCACAGGCTCACAGAGGAGCAGCTGACACCGCCCTGACCCCGTGACTAAGTCACGGGGAGCTCAGTTCCCACACTCTGACTCTTAGTGTCCTAAACAGAAGACGGGGACACAGAATCGGCAGAAGGACACGCCCGCTGTAAGTTCGTCGGGACTTAACGTGGCGAATACGATATAAATGTCTTAAAACGTTCTCTTCATGTGCAACTTCCCAACCACAAACTTACAATTAAAGAAATGTAATGTGTAAAATAAAGGGACGACTGTAACAGAAAACGATCTACACAGAATTCTGAACCACGAGAAACAGCGAGGTCCCTCTCTTTAGGAGATACATGGGAAATCCCAGGATTTGAAATACACAAAACGCCATGTTGATCTGAACAGGCAGAAATAGAAATGAAATACGAATTTTCTGGTTTTAAACTCCAGTGTTGAACCGGCAGATTTTTAAATCTGTGGGTTTTATGAAAGATTCAACTTGGTTTTGCCCTCTCTCTCTTGTGATAAAAATAACACCTATCATTAACTGACATACAGCTATTTGTTCAGCAGGGTCACGTCCCCCCTTCACGTGTCCCTGAGACGGGCAATCGAGGAAGAGGGCAGCCAGGGCTGTGGGGCCCCGCACAGCATCCGCCTGGGGCGGCAGGAGAGCCCGGATCCCACGGGCCCAGCCAGCGCGCGGCTGAATCCCAGAGTACGTGGACTCGGCAGCGCGTGGGCTCTCCTCCCCAGGCCAGAGCTGGGAAGGTGAGAACAGTCATCAGCTCCGTTTCCTATGAAGAAAACTGAAGCTGAGAATGAAAACACCATCTGCTGCACGTGCGGCTGCAGCAACGACCCTGACGTCATGTCAGGCCCGGCGAACGGGGTGGGTGCCCTGGGAAGTCGGCACGCAGGAGCCGGCCTCGTGCCCTAAACCTGTCGCCTGTGGGGTCCAGGCCCACCTGCTGCATTACCAGGCTGCGCGCTTTAAGCGAATCACGGTATATAACGTGCTCAGGAAAGTCCCAGCACCGGGGCGGAGTCACACACGTCAGCAGCGGCTTTTAAGGGTGGCTGCATTGTAAGTCTTGTGGTCCTACCGATAAGCGGATTAGTTTCTGCTGGAATTCAGTAACAGTATCGCATACCCAGTAGATATGTGTTGCACTGAATCAGACACGTAACTGTCCTGTCTCGGCCCCACACAGAGGTTCAGGGTTCGGCGACGTGTAAAACCCTGGCTCGGTTCTTCTGACCCAGCGTGGACTGCTCGACCTTCCACTCCTGCCCTTCTGAACAGTCTGAAGTGGACAACAGTCGTCCTCAGCCAGGCACAGGCTCCCAGGGCACATCCAGTACCACAGACGTGGTGAGAGCTGCATCCAGAGCTCCCCAGAGGTGTTCTGGCTCCGAATCCAAAAACAGTCGTGACCTGTGTTAAAAACAGTCTTCTTGTTCTCCCAACACATGATAAATTCTCAGGCAAGAGAGGTGTTATTTTTACAATCGGCCGAAGAATGCAGGTTTCAGCCGTGCTGCACGCTGATGGGGCTGAGCCCAATCTGCTCTGAGCAGATATAGGGATACAGGAGTCTGGTCTCAGGGGCTGACTGTCCCCTCGGAACCACCCCTGAATCCAGCCAGCACAGGGACGTGTGTTTCTTCAGCAGAACATCCGCTATTTCATAGGCAGGAGAAGTAGGGAACCCGCAGAGAACTAGAAGAGGGTCTGGCAGGCACACTGACCGCAAACCCGCACCCAGTGCCCCACCCACTGGGCGGGCAAGTTACGGTCAGTCCTGTGGCCACTCACAGGCGTCAGTGAATCACTGGAAAGTATAAACATAAACTGATAGGTCTGAACATATACTCATTTTTCCTAGGAAGGAACTGATCACTTTCATCAAGGACTTAACCTTAGGCTGAGAATCTGACATTATGAATAAAAAATGTAATTTATTTTTCCTGGACAATGGAGCATAAAAACACTGAATGTTTTTAGTAGAAGTTGTCCGGGATTCTCTACAGATTATAAAGTCACTGTGAAAAAGAATGTTTTAAACGGTTACAAACTCTTAGCTACCCTCTGCTCCCCAGACCCGCGAAGCCGGGCACTCAGGACAGGTGGGGGCAGAAGGGGACAGGACGCTGAATGAGGGCTAGTGCCTGGGCTGTTGGGAAGGTGGACCCCAACCTCCGACTGGACGCTGGGATCGAGGGGCATGCAGCAGAAGGGACGGGTCCTCCGCCCCTGTCTCTGTGGCTTTGTGTGTCCTGGACGGCAGGGAGTGTCCCTCAAGGGCCATACGTGTGTACATACGACTCATCAGGACCCCTGCATCGCTTCCGTGAGGGGCACGTCAGGCTCTCCCAGGGAAGACGCCACACTGTCAGCATCTGCGTCTCCCAAGGAAACGCCGATTTGAAGATGGTGAATCCGGGAAAATGGCCAGTTTGCTTCATTTCCAATCAAAGGTCATGGGGACCCAAACAATGGGGGACGTAAGGGTCCGCAGAGCCCGTGACCTCCAAACAGCCCTCCCTGAACTAGGGAATAGGAATGACTTGGGGTATTTTCAAATGCACCAAAAACAACTTATTTTCAGCTACATGCTTTGAAGGACAGAGCACTGAGATGCAGCTTAGATGTGCACAGCTCTATGTGTCTCCAGCTGTGCGTCCACCAGAAGAAAACAGGAAATTGGCTACGGTTTTGATACGGCACATCTAGTAGAGGATCCTATATACTAAATCTATCACGCACAGTAGCCCTGTTTGAGTTAAACGGAGACAAAACTTGCCCAAATTGTTCTCCCTAATCTTTATTCAGTATTTTATGGCATCTAATCAGTAAGTGTCTTACCCTTAAGCAAAGTTCATTTGTATGAGACTAAAGCCAAAAAGAAGGGCAGAAGTCCCCATCTGTGTCCCCAAACGCCAGGGAGAGAGCTGACACCGGGCACCTGGAAATGGCCACCGTGCGTGGTTCCCCAGTTGAGGTTTCTGCCAGCAGACGGCCTCTCACCCTGGCCTTGCAATTCCAGGGAGGATGCGTCACGTTGCATCCCGTGGTGAGTGGGGACATTTCCACGCAAGGTCCTCAAGGGAACCCATCAACAAGGAAACTAGGGAAGTCAGGGATCGAGTAAAGGAAACAGCTGGACCCGATGTCTGGGGGCAGGTAAGCAACAGGGGAGGGGCTTTTCCTCAGCAAACCGTCCCCAAGGGAATAGGAAAGCGGCTGCGCCCAGTGGGGCCTCCCCAGCGCGTCCACGCGGAGCTGGCAGCGCAGGGCACTTACATGTGCGCCGTGGCTGCTCCCGCGGACACAGACCACATCCTGTTTCTGAATCGTGAGGACCTCTCTTGTCAGCTTCAGGCGGACATCACAGGGGCTTCCAGACCCTTCGTGGTACAGCAGGGCGAGGCCGGTTCTGGTCTATGGGGGCAAAGCGGCAACACAGGCCGAGGGTGTGAGCACAAGGACGTGGCCGCCACAACAGTGCCACAGCCCTCACCCACCCGCCCACGGGACACACCTGCACTGACACGTGGGGCAGCACATCCGCCTCCATCTGACCAGGGCTCCAGTGACCTAACACACGGGAAGTGGGTGACCTAACACACGGGAAGTGGGTGACCTAACACACGGAAGTCAGTGACCTAACACACAGGAAGTCTGAGTTTTGAATAACCAGTTTTGAAGAGTTTTTACAGGATTTAAAAAAATATGTTTTTAAAAGGAAATTAGCCAGGATTTTCTTTAAAAGCTCAAAGGTATTTTTACTAATTTATTTAAAACAATTAGAAAGGGTTTATTTTCTACTTTAACTAAAGTTATTTGAATGAAAACCATAACTTTACAAGATTCAGATAATACCTGTATGAAGATTTATTGGTTTGGAGTAGGAAATGGTGAAAATAATCATTAAACAGACACCGACTTCAGCAGAAGGGCAGCCGGGCCCGTGCACCAGGCCCTCCTCGGTGGCCATTGCCTGCCTCCCCGGGAGCCTGGGGACGAGGTGGGCTTCCCCCCACAGGCCGAGCAGCCAGGAAACGGAAGCATCAATCAGGAGGGCGTTTAAGTAGTTAGGAGAGCGTGCCAGGCCTTCTCAGCAGATGAAGAAAGGGTAAGTCAGAGAGACACCGCGGGGTAAGTGAGAAGCGGCCTCCTGGTGTGTGAAAATGGCGGTCAACCGGGTCTGAAGGTGCCCTGTCCTGGGAGCCCAGGCCTCGCCCCGGGTCGGGTCTCAGGTGTGGAGGCCGGGATTTCCATCCTCTTGATCGGGAGGTCTGTGTGCAGGGTGCTACTCGCACGGCCCTAGGCACTCACCATACACGCCAGGGGTAAGGGAGGCAGGTGGCGGCACCCTCAGGCCACGGCCACGAGGACGGGCCACGACGGGAGGCCCAGGAATGTGTGAGGATAACACCGTGGTCCCAGGGCAGCTCAGGGTCAGTACACGTGACTGCACGGGAATGAGCGGGCTCCACAGAGCACCAGTGCCTGCCCTGTTCCCCCGAGACCACACCTGGATCTGTGTGGGACGTGGTCTGAGCTTCAGGGATTTAGAAACTTACCAGATGCTTCTATTAAGCAGAAGCGTTTGGGAAGGAAGAGTTCAGAGCAGGGGCACGGCGTCTTGCATGCTCCCTGGAAACGCAGACCCTGCGGCCACGGGCCCTCAAGCCACGGACCCTCCTGCCATGGACCCAGCCACCAAACAGAACCTGCTTCTCCCACCACCTGCAGGTGAGGCCTGTGCACACCAGCGTTTAAGCACTGAGGGAGCCGTTTCCTGCTGTGTTAGACTGCGAACCACTACGGCCCGCCGCCCCCACTGCTCAGCCGCACTCTTGCACGACCACGCTGGCGCACTGGCACAAGACCGCCGTCCACACGTGGCTGCCAGGGCTGAGCACTGCGTGGTTGTGTCTGCACCGGGCTGGGACCCACAGCCGCGCTCTGGGCCCGGGGCAGTCTGCGGCCGTGGTTCTCCCCTCTCTTGGCCTCACCAGGTGGCTGAGAAGCAAGCGTCGGAGCCAGAGAGCATTTGCTGTTGCGCAGCACAGGCCCTTCCTCCACCTGCCTCACGGGGAGGCCCCCCACCCCCGACCTCCCGGCTCCCTGCCTGGCGGGCAGATGGGCTCCCGGGGACCCTTCACTCGAAATGTGTCCACACAGCCAGGGGCGACCCCTGCCCAGCGTGGGTGCCGTGGTTCATTGGGACTGTCTGCTCTCACTCTGCGGCCCGAGCAGCGGGGGGTCCAGGAACATGTTTAACTTAAATACATCCGTAGAGAAAGATGGTTAGTGAGGAAGACCCATGTGACCTGTCCTTAGTCATGTGACTTTGGGGAATTACTGCACCTCTACGTGCGTGACTAGGCTCTGGGGCCACTGCACGTGTTAATAATGACGATTACTTTATTCATTCTGATCGAGAATGACACTGTCCACTCTCAGACCACATGGCGCCGTGGCAGCGTGTACGTGACACTCACACAAGACCACTCGAACTCTGCAAAGCGCCACCTACCTTGGCGGGACCCGCTCTGCTCTATCTCCTGCTGGGACACTGCTGCTGGCCCTAACTTGCTGTCCATTCACCTGCTGTCGGGAAGGTGCTTCTTGGAAGTGACCACGAACCCTCTGGGGGCTGGGGGCCTGGGACGAAGCCGCCTCCCATGTGCCCTGATGGTCCCTTGAAACGCCCCCCGCATAACTCCCCCCGCAGAACCTCCGCTATCACAGGCCTCAGCTCCGCCCTTCCGCGGAGGCACAATGCCCCCCACTCAGCGGTAGCGTCCTCGAACGTCTCGAAGTGTGGGGTTCTCCCCACAGTATAAATTCCACGGTTTGTTCTCCTGGTATTAAGGTTGTAAAAATGCTGCTAAAAACTCTCACCAACCACTGTTCTTTCCCACGTTTCCTAGAAATGTGTTCTTTTAAAGGAGTTCACTTGGTACATTTAAACCAAAAACAATGTCAGGGGGCAAACGCGTCGCGGAAGCTCACGGGGCCGCAGGCTTCCCAGGCCGAACAGTGCGACCTCACACGTGTCCTCTTCTCGGGCCCCATCTTAAGGGGCAGGTGTGGCGTCAACCTCAGGGAGCCCTGATCTGCTCCTGCAACAGTGTGGCTGGATGTCACCGCACGTGGCGGCCCCTTCCCAGACACGTGGATGGAGAGCGGGGAAGGCTGGGCACCTGCCAGGAGGTGCCCTCCACCTGCGCAGGCCGGGGCCTCCCCGCTGCCCTCCTGCTGCTCGTCGACGTTCTCCCACTCTGCACGCATGGTCGCCCGAGAGCCTCTGTGCGGACACCTGCCTCCCCTCACGCCCACCTGGCCACCAGCCCAGCCCGAATTCTTCCCTCACACACGGCCCTCCCTCCCTCGAGCATCCCACCTTCGGGCCGTCCTCCACCACCCGGGGGGCCAGGGTCCTGGAGGCACCCAGACCTCCCAGGGAAGCGTCTGGACACTGAGTGATCAACGAACCATCCATTTTCTTGCCCCGGTGACGGACCTCACCGTTCCTCATCATAACCAGGGCCGGCGGCTGTGGGGCAGGGTTTCAGGAGAATAACAGACGGGCGGGGTGAGGCGTGGGACGCGGAGGAGATGACAGGCTGACAGCTTCCGGCTCGCAGGCCAGATGCTCGGGCGGCTCCACGTGCCCCTCGTGCAGCTTGGCCCACATGTCTGTGCCCAGCCTGCGAGAGCATCACGCATCTTCACGCAGTAACGGGCCTTTGTGGCACCACATTTTCGTTAATATGTTTAGCATTTTATAAAATACTGCCTATACGTTCAAGCAGAAACGTGTTTTTTATGATGAGCTACGAGGACTTTTTTACAGCACTCTCCCCGTGGCCACAGTAAAGCAGACACAGAGGTGCGCGTACATGTTGTACCGGTGTTACTACAAAGGTTTTCTTTAAACACAGCCTCTGGCTCTGACCCTGCCCCAGGCATGTGAGACCACAAAGGAACCGCGATAAATAGCCGCTCACCAGCCACACGGCCGTCACGACCAGGGAGTGAGCTGGGTGCCTCGTTCAGTTACCGCACACGCTGCACGTCGCCAGACAACCGGACGTGACTATTTGCTGCCATCCGTACACAGCTCTCGGCGCAGAAGGTAAAATCAAATTCTTGTACTGAGTGTTTCACTAGCACTTCCGGTAGAAGAGTTTGGAGTAAATGGTGTGCATTTTCAAGCAGGTGTCAAAATAGATTTTGTTAGGAATATTGGGGCCAACATCCAGAAGTAATAAATGTGTAAAAACGACAAGCTATGAAAAGGCCACGGAGACTAGAACATATAATTACAGTTGTTGCTAATGTGCTTCTGATCCCCAGGGCGCTATACCACGGACATTACTCACACTGAGCACGTGGAAACACCACGCGGAGACGGAGGCCGTGCTCCACACGTCCTCACCTCTGGCTGCTCCATCCTCCCCACAAATGTCCCTTCGGGGACCTGGGACCATGTTAACGTGGGCCGCGTCTCTACGGCCTGCTGAGTGCATGGCCAGCTCATCAACCAACGTTGATGAGTATTTTATTCTTTCCATACTTACAGGAAAACTCAACTTGCAGGAAAACCACATCTGAAACCCAGGTGTGCAGGGTAGAGCGTGGGCTCCCACTGAATGCGCACGCGGGGCGGCTCCTGTTAGAGGTCGCTGCGTCTTCCAGGCTGCTCGGCCGGCTACTCCTGAGAAGTTACACTGGGAGGGACTCCCGGCAACGACGGGCGCGGGTTTAGGAAGCAGCTCTCACCCCCTGGGGACAGGGGTGGGGACCCTCCACCCGGCTGCAGGGGTTGGGCCAGGCCTAGCGGGAGCCTGCATCCACCCCTCATGCCCAGTGCTGACACAGGAGCCCCCCAAACCCTCTCAAGTGTGTTTCCTATAAACAGCACGAGCCTAGATCTTGTCCCTTAACCAGCTTTGTGACTGAGGTCACTGTCGCAGGTTCATTATTTCTGCCACGTCTGGGACTTGCTTTTTTGGGCCATTCGCTCTCCATGCCTCTGTTCTTACTCTGGATTAACTACCTGCTAGCATCTATCTACTTCATCACCTAAAAACATGTTTAACCGTACAGCTTAGTTTTATTTTTTAAGTGATTCCCCCGGAAATGAGAAGATCCACACGCCACTAAACATGTCACTTCACGGGCAACGGAAGGGTCTTCAAAGGACAGGATTCCATTAAACCCTCCGCACTGTGGTCATCACACGTTTGCCTCCACCTAGTCCATAAACCTCTCAGTGTATCAGTCCACACTTTTATGTACGTGTGTGTTTCAGAAGGGATAAAGACCTACAGTAAGTAAATATCACACGTAAACATACAATTATAAGGAAACACGTACTGTGGGTGGTTTTTACGTCACCCGCATCCGTGATGAGATTCAGGAACTGCTCACCGACGTCTGACGGGGGTTGAGACTCCCTACTCGCAAGACAGAGAATGAGCCTGCTGGGTCCTCGGATGGTGGCGGAGCCATAGGACAGGCCGCCACCCACCCTGCTCGCGCCGGTAACAGCAGGGCAGCTGGAGTTCACGATGACGGACTCACAGGTGGCACCCAGCTGCACGGACAGGAAGTCTGAAACAAGTGTTTCCCGAACGGAGCAAATAAGCAGGGAGTCGGGAAGGAAAAACCAAACAGGTTGTCTTTGCAATATTATTATTTAACTTTTTAAAACAGCGAATGTTCACCTCCTGTAGTTCAGGTGCATAATGGTGAACCCTAATTTCAATTCCAATGACGTGATTCTGTTTTACCATGTTTGTTTTCCTGATTCACTTTCTTCAAGTGAAAATGCACTTTCCTTAAAAAAAAAAAATTAAAAAAAAAAAAAAAGGGGCGCCTGGGTGGCTTAGTCAGTTAAGTGTCCGACTTTCGCTTAGGTCATGATCTCGCGGTTCGTGGGTTCGAGCCCTGCGTCGGGCTCTGTGCTGACTGCCGGCTCGGAGCCTGGAGCCTGTTTCAATCTGTGACTCCCTCTCTCTCTGACCCTCCCCTGCTCACGCTGTCTCTGTCTCTCTCTCCTAGAAATAAATAAAACATTAAAAAAAAAAAATTTAAAAAAAAAAAAAAAAAAGGAAAATGCACTTTCCGTGAAAATCGAGAAAACACATCAGTCGAACCTCAGGCAGTATGAGAAATGCGCTGCCGTCTCCTTCTCGTCCGGGAGAAAGATTTGCTCCGTGCCATGGGGATGACGTAGCCCTGCCTGCACTCGGGACTCACAGAAGTGCATCAGCCGCAGGGCTCACGGCGTCACTGTCACCGCCTACAAGCCGGCAGGTCCCTGTGGCTCACGCTCGCTAGGGCCACACCTCGTGTCCTGCCAGAAACCGCTATGGGGTCGAGGCTTCCTTCCTCGAGCTTCCCGCTCAGGAAGTGATATCTGCACTCAAAACCGCCAATGCCCTCCACCTACAATCAGTGTTACATAATCAAAAACGTTGAACCCTGGAAGAATTACACATTTTCTTGGCATCGAGAGGGCGCCCCCAGCGTCTCCAAGGCGATTACTTACGGTGAAAAAGTTGCACGAGACACACATCTGGGCACCAGGGCTTCAGGGAGACTCGGCCTCCCCAGAGCCGGGCAGCAAGACGTGGGTGCGCCTGCACACGTGCCCACGGGAGCACCGGCCCGGGCAGCGCCTCGGTCCAGCGGCAGAACCACCAAGTGGCAAGGAGACACGGGGAAAGGGCACCCATGTCTGCGCTCGACAAGCTGGCCCACAGGGTCGGGACGGGAGGGTCTGATGTCACAGCCGTCTCACTCCGGGATGTCACAGAGCGCGAGTCTGGTGCACGCGGCTGGCTACTGATGGTGTAACACTGACAAACCATCACACATTCTGCAAACTGGCCAAGTACTACTCAAAGAAGTCTTTCCTTACGTTAATTATAAAAAGCGCATCTTCTGTTCTGTTTCATTACGTCTGTTAATACAATACCTAATGAGGGGAAGGTGTCAGTAACAGGGATTGAGGCCAAAAAGTATTCTCCAAACCGAGGGTGAGGCTTCACTAGGGAAGGGTTAGTGAAATATTGTGTTCCACCCGCTTCCCTCAGAACCACCATCAACATACACAGGCCAGACAGGTCCCCGTTCAGTGGAGTAGAGATGGGACCAGCTGCAGATCGCAGACGGGACACATTATTTCAGGACACTGTGAAATGAAGCAAAATGAGGACAGTCTGACGGCCAGTGCAGAGTTCCTCAGACTTGCGGGAAGACACACGCTGCCCTAAACGCAAGTAGACCTTCCTGAAGGGGAACTGAATGATGCTCTAATTAGAACAACAGACCTGAGGACTGCAGGCCAAACACAATGCAGGCTCAGTACCGATCAAGATCGGCTCCCGTGGGGTTTCGGAGAGCAGGTGGATGCCCATAACTCAGAAGACAAGAGGCATCCAGCCAGCACGGCTCGGAAGCGGGCGCGCGGTCAGGAGGAAAGCAACGTGAACATAATAGAACAAAGTCCATGAGGAAATGTGTTAAAGTCAAGTGAAGACAGCCGGCAGTGAGGGCCTCTGCTGAACCACACTGACGTGCGCAGGCAGGCGGGGGACGGGGTCCACTCGAGAGCCCTCGTAATCACAGAGAGTGTCCCGGAAACGCAAACGCAGGAGGACACGGCTGGACCTGTGGGGACACGTGTCTCGGTCAACAGTCCACCCAAAGCACATCCTCGTAAAGTAACTAACCTTTAAGAATAAGGAAACCATACAATTATGATGTTTGTCTTATGATAACTTAGCAGAACTGATATGTCTGCTAAAAAAATCTTCCCCTTGGCTAAAGACAGAATTTGTAATGCATTTCTAGGATCATAACCAGGAATGCAAAACTCCAGAATTAAAAACAAGCAAATCTATTTACCTACATTTCAAAAGCACGAATAGCACAGCACTGATCTGAATAGCAGGATTTAAAACTCGAGTCCATCAGCACATTACAGAACCCTGAACTCAACAGGCAGAACATCCATTCTTTTGAAGAGCAGGTGTGTGGTATTTACCAAATTTTAACAAAATGCTGAGTCAAAAACAAAACTCAATAACATCAAAGGATTTGATTGAAATCATTCAGACTATGTCCTTTTCACATACTCTACAATGGAAAAGAAGAAAAAAAGCTAACAGAAAATCTCTTCTCCTTAAAAGTTAAGCAATATACTTCCAAACTGCCAAAGATGAAGGGGGAAAATATTTTGAATGGATAACAAAGTCACAGTTCTTCAAAACCTATGA